AGGAGTAGTGTGGTGTAGTAGTAGTAGTAGTAGTAGTAGCAGCAGCAGTAGTAGTAGTAGTAGTAGTACTATAGTAGTAGTAGTAGTAGTAGTAGTAGTAGTAGTAGTAGTAGTAGTGGTAGTGGTAGTCGTAGTCGTAGTCGTAGTCGGAGCAGCAGTAGTAGTAGTAGTGGTAGTAGTAGTAGTAGTAGTAGTAGCAGTAGTAGTAGTAGAAGTAGGAGTAGGAGTAGGAGTACTAGTAGGAGGAGTAGTAGTAGTAGTAGTAGTAGTCGTAGTAATAGTAGCAGTAGCAGCAATAGTGGCGTTATTAATAGCAATCGCGGTAGTGGTGGTGGTCGTCATCGTCGTGCTATTACTTGGAGTGCTTGTCGTCGTCGTTGTCACTGTTCTCGCCGTTTGTTAGATTGTGAAATGAAAGAGGCTTGGCCCCTGTGAGGCGCAGACTGGCAGGTGCCGGAGCAGGGGGTCCGTCATCCGAAAGCTCCGTCTGTCAGGGTCAGGGCGGATACGGGGCCTGGGTGGTGGGGGCTAAAAGTCGTGGCCTCGTTCATTTGCGTGCTTGGCTTCGGGTTGCTTTGTTTTGAGCTTCTGATTTTATGGATTTGGGTTTAGGCTGCTGCAAGTTTGGAAGCCCGTGCAGCCAGGATCTCCGAACAAGAAGGCACTCCTATATACATGCGGAACGGTAGACTCTGCGTTGTCGAGCGGTTTCATAGTTGATTGGTAGCTATATAGAAGGAATAACTGAATCACGACATGTGCCCCATGAGCAAGGCTGCACATGCAGATAATATGCTACAGCTAACATACCCTACTAAGAACCCTACCAGCCAGTCCTAACTATTCCCAGAACCTCTAATCGGACTCTATGTCCTGTGCAGAGTCCTATGCAGTAGCACTGCCTGAAAATCGCAGGTTAATTGACACAGGGGCCTTAATAAACGGAATAGGGTTTTGGGGTTTGCAGGTCTCGTATGCTGCAAAGTAAAGTTCTAATGAACACTACCTACAGTCTCCACTGTAGTTCCTTTTCTGGGTTATCTATGTAACTGTATGATACAGCAGACCTTTCCGACGTGTGAGAACCCAAGTACAAGATTCCGAGAGTCCTACATGAACCAGGCCATATCTGTGATGTTCACAATCGCGATGACCCTGATGAACATAACCTGAATTACTGTAGGGAACTTGCTTGAAGCGACCACAACAGGGATCTATGGCAAATAATAAAGTTTCTCTGTTGTAGTACCTTAGATAGAAAATCTTACACCCTCATCTATGCGAAGGCCTTAGTATCTGCAATTCCAAAACATAATAATGACCTATATAACTCCCCTGAGAACCTAAACCCTGAAACCCCAAGTCCAATCAAACCTTGGTAAAACTATATGGGTAGTTCTCTAAATTAGGGTCCTTTTTCAGGTCCCCAATATAGTACGGCACCCTCATAAAAAGGACCCCAAAAGGGACCCTAATTTAGAAAACTACCCATATACACAAGCAGCCCTCCTGGTAAACCTATAAAAACAAGCTGCCCTCCTCCCCTGCACCTGCTCCGCCCAGCTCTTACGCACGGGCTTCCAGCCACCATCGAGGCTCCAATTCTCGGCGCCTGTTCCCACGGCTTAGTCTTGTGAGATTTTGTGCTACGGATGCCTTTCCGGGTGAAGTGGTGTGTTGCGAGAAGCTCTAAATACACCTTTAAAGGAATTGAGGGCTAAGAAAATGGAGGGGTTTTATAGGACTTTGAGGCTCTGAGGTATGGTAGGGAACAAAGTAGAAAACCCTGTGCACCACATCGAAACCTTATTCCAGTCTCCGGACCTGCTTTTGTCCCGAACACGTAGGGGCATCAGAACCTCAGACTATGGCAGGATAGATACGTTGCCTGTGAGGGAAGCGTGAACCTGAGGCTTTTCAAGGCGAGGATGACCTCTGCAAGGCCAAAGGCGCGGGGAGAGGGAGGGAGTAACAGAGTAACTCCCATGATAGCCTTATCCAGTTTCCTAGCCTAGGAGACTTGAAGGATAACCTTTGGATGGCATAGGAACTATACTCCGGCAGCAAGGTTGAAGGTTACACTTAGGTCCTGACTCTACTACTAAGTAACAAAACGCCGGCGAGCCTTCTGCTGGTGGTGCAGGGTTAACGGCCAGGTTTGGTGACCTGGGCAGCATTTGCGTTTTCAGTCTTGGAGCACGGAGATTAGTAGGTGCAGGTGTTCAAGAAGAGCCACGGCAAACCATAGTCGTGGCAGACCAGACTACTGCACGAAGACGGTGCATCCATCTGTATTTCTGCTTGTTCAACATCTTCACGACTGACTACACTGTAGACTACACTGGATACTCTGGAGATATGCCACGGGATGCGAGTGTCCATTACAATCAGTGCGGTGGTGCAGGCACCTCGGTTACGGCACTGGTGGGGCTAATCAAGGTGCGAGCCACGATCACTGAAGCATAGAGTAACCCTAACCCCTAAAGCGGCCATGCAACATAGCATTGCTTCCTCAACATGTTACGAAGTCCCCAGCATGAGCTTAGCTTTCCGGATTTCCAGGCTGCCGTGCTGCAGGATGACGAACTCGCTGGGGTGCAGGGATTGCTGTTCTTCGCGGGTTTAAGCTCAAGGCGAGGGGTTGTGCTGTTGGACAGGTTTTGGATGCGTGGATGTCAAGCTTTGCCATGATGCTTAAATCAAGGAATCGACTCCTCAGACTGCCTATCGCTGTCCAGTGGAGGGGTGTTCTTGTTGACATAAAATTGAAACATGGATGTCTGCAAGCACCTGAAATTCAACCCAACTCATTTCCTGGAGCCAAACATGCCCATCCACCCGAGCTGTTGCAGCCTTATATCCCAACAATCCCATCGCCGGCCTCTGCAACCCTAAGCATAATGAAGCTGCCAGACAAGGAACACAGAGCTTTGGTTGGAGCGGCCCTTGTTGCTGCCTCGGATAAGCTTGAACTGACGGTTTCCCATTAAAACCCCAAACCGTTCATTTAGGAATCCTAAGCCTAAATCCCAAACCCCGCAACATAAGCTACCTTTGCAGTACTCTGTCGGGGCCATGGAAGCGGCTGAGGATCGGAAGGTCTTTGAGAAAGTAAAAAAACCCTGGGGTCTTGTCGTTGAGTCTATTGATCACGACCTGAAAACCTGACCAATATGACCTCAAACCGGAAGCATAATCTCAGAATGAGATAGACAATGGAGCAGAAAGACAACGCCTGATTCGTGCAAAGCACCCAGAACCGCGAGCCAGATAGACCGTGCGTTTCATCAATGAGTGAAGCAGCTTTGACATGTGACTGCGCCCCTTGGATTCAAAAAAACCACAATGCATAGTCGCATAGAAGCCAAACAATAACCAGAAAAACAAAAAAGACCTGGAACGCTGTAAAGTGGGATCCTTAGCGTAGTAAGGACACCTAAAGATGCAATGGATGGACTGACTGTCAGTCTGGCACCTAGGCTCTGAAAGAGCCATACACCCCCCCCCCCCCCCCCCCNNCCAAACCCTAAGCATCCCTGAACCCTATAAACCCCATACCGCTACAACCCCCTAAACCATCCTAAGCCCTAACCCTATTCCTCTCATTTAGGGATTCCGGGAGTTGGTCAAAATTCTCAGACTGAGCGAGACAGCCAGGCCACCAACCTCAACGAGGTGGAAAGTGCCTGCTGAATTTAAGGGGTTAGGAGTCGGTTATAAGGAGGGTTTAAAGGCTAGGGTATAGGGTTTAAGGTGCTGAATTTAAGGGGTTAAGGGGTTGGAAGGGCTGAGGATCTGGGACAGGGCTTAGGAATTTAAGGTTCAGGGGTTTAGGGGTTTGAGTGACGAAAGGGCTTAGGGTACAGGGTCTGGACTTTAAGGGTTCAATGCCTTGCGTACTCCAGCATACTCACCCTCGTATAAGCCCCAAACCCTATGCAAACCCTAGGCCGTAGTGTGGATAGCAATCCAAAGTCGGGCGCTGCCTTCGATCAGCAAAATTAGAGCTCACAAAACAAGTTCGTGCTGACACGCTAACACTACATTACTGCATGTAGTCTACATTGCACTTGAAGTCTTGGGTTACATTATAGGATCCTGAATGAAACATTGGTTACACCGTTAAAAGGAACTACAACGGAGACTGTAGGCAATACCCTACAGTGGCTTGTAGTAACCCTGATCATACCAATACTACGACTACTACCAACCAATGCCTTGTAGAAACCCTGGTCGCGCCCTTCAGTAACTTGTAGTAACTAGCCCTTTACAAACTACACCGCGACACGGTGCAAAATGCAAAACAGCTGATTTCTAAAACCCTCCAGGTACCTACTGCATAGGGTACTAGAGACCCTAGGGCCCTATATAGTAGGTACCTGGGGGGTTAAGGTTTCTTAAACACTAGAAAGGCCCGTGCCACAGCATCCATTATAACTCGCAGAGTCCCATACCTCCCGGAGTCCCAAACTTTGGACAACCCTAAACCATACGCGTAAAGTATCCTAGGCGAATTTAAGGTTGGGAGTATTCTCCGTTCATAATACTCCCTTAGCAAAGGTTAAAGGTTGCCTACCCGACTACGAAGCTCTAATTCTTAAACCCCTAAACTCCAGGCGCCTGAGCCTGCGCGGCTGCGGTTTCCAGGACCCAGGTTAGGGGAGGCGTGCAGCCCCGGAGAGGATGAGCCCCCTGGCGCCAAGGTGCCCGTACGTTTGGGGGATCATGGGCACATTGCTAGTAAGGTTATCAATTACCCAAGTTACCGTGCTTATATCCCTGATTACAAAGTCCTAGGATCCTGCAAGGAAGGGGGAAAGATCCCTCGCATTATCAGCTTCAGAATTTAAAGCCGCCTTCTGGGCTCTTGATTAATATAGGGGCCTAACTAATCACCAATACTATTTTTTCGGGGGGGTTTCCTTCTTCCGCTTATCGTAGACTATACCCCAAAATTCCTGCTCTAAATATGAAGGCACTTACACTACGTGTAGGGTTTGGGCATTTCAGGGATTGGGCGGCTTTGGACTTGAATTTGCTGCGAAGACAGCGCCTGTGGCCGGAGAGTCCATGACAGCAGCAAAGCGTGGCTTACAAGAACCCCGTTCAAGAACGTGAGTCTGCTACTGCTGGGCTGGCGTGGGGTGCAACATGCTCGTGGCGTGTGGGCTAGCAGCCACCGGAAAGGAGGTAGTCTTGAGGTGCTGCAGGTCATTTCGGCAAGGAAGCCTAGATCACAAAAGCCTGCAAAGCATGAGACTGGCTTCAGGTGGTGCGAGATGCTGCTCGAAGCCGAAGGAGGCTATGCCGTTTGCTGACGTCCAGCCTTTGGGCCAATGCTGCATCGGGGTTGCACCTGCAATCTCGATACTGCAATGTGAACACATACTACTACTGTTATGATGATGATGATTATTATTATCACTATTATTATTGTTATTACTACTATTACTACTACTATTACTACTACTACTACTACTACTACTACTACTACTACTACTACTACACTACAGCCAGCACTTGAGGCCTCCGCCTTCGATTCTGCGCTCTTCTGAAGAACACTTTCGCCATGCCGAAAAGGCCATCATTTTTGAGTCCAAATCAAACGATGCATGACCCTGTGGGTTTAGGGTTTAGGGTTTAGGTGCTTAGCAGGGAATGGGGGAATGGGTTATAGGGACTACTATAAGGGACCTTAAGGGACTGTCATGGGGATCCATTCCCCCATTCCCTACTGAGCACCAGACAGACGATGCATGACCCTGTGGGTTTAGACCACGAACACTTGTCCTACCTCACCCGAAAGCCCTTTGCTCTAAGTTCTATCCTCAGCACAGCCCTGAAGTCACGAAGATTGCGAGGGCTGACGCGATGGCATCGGGAACAATCTGCCCGCGCTTCTCTGCCTCCAAGAGCCTCAGTCAGCTTGATCGCCATTTAGGATTCAGGGTTGAGGAACCCCGAAACCACCCCTAAACCTCAACCCTTTTTTGGAATCCCAATGGACCTGAACCCTCTGTTTCGGGTTGAGTCGTTCGTTTTAGGCTGCACCTATTGCAACCAGAAGCCTGTACCAAACTGGACTGGAGAAGAGCGGTTCACAGGGCTCTCGCACTAGGAAAGGAAATCTGCTGCTCCTTGAACAAGGCACCCCGGCTAAGTCAGGAGGAGCTCGGCTTCCGAAAGTAGTATGCAGCCCGGAGAAGCGACTTGGATACCGTCTGCTTTGTACATGTTGGAGTTTATCCACATTGCCTAGACTTAGACATAGTGAACGCTGCGACTACAACATAAGCAGTTAATACCTAAACTGTTCAACACGCTACGTCGTTGCCACCGGAAACCCCTCTTAAACCTCCAAGGCCCTATAAACCTTCTTTACCACTAAATGCGGGGCCCAGAACCCCGAAACTTCAAGACATTGAACCCCCCCCAAACCCCTAACCCCAATACACTCGAATCCCTTAACCCTAAACCCTAAACCCTAAACCAACACCGAAACTTCCTGGTCTCTAACCTTTGGGAAAGCTAGCCGAGTGTACTGTAATTGGGAATATATACACCTGTACCTATAACTCATTATGGTTGCCCTCTTTATAACCCTAAACCCTAAACCCCAAAAGCCCTAAACCACATAAGCCGAACTGAGCCCAAAACCCCATAAACCAAACTAAACCCCAAAACCCGAAACCCTAAAACCCTAACCCCCCAAACCCCTAAACCCTAAACCCCTAAACTCCCAAACCCCTATAAACCCTAAAACCCTACACCCTGAACCCTAAACCCCAAAAATCCCGAAACCCTAAGCCCCACGATCCTTCAAGTGACCTGGCAGCTGCCTCCGCCCAGCGCCGCGCGCGGCCGAGGTTGGAGAGCGCCTTGTCGGTTAGGGTTTAGGGTTTAGGGTTTAGGGTTTAGGGTTTAGGGTTTAGGGTTTTGTGGTTAAGGGTTTTGTGGTTAAGGGTTAAGGGTTTAGGGGTTTTGTGGCAACTCAATCACTCTGAGCTCCAAGCCTGTGCACGTCCACATCCCTACGCAGTTGGCCGATTGCCCACAGGGTTTAGGGGTTTAGGGTTTAGGGTTAAGGGTTTTTGGGGATTTTTTGGGTTTAGGGTGTTGTGGGGTTTTAAGGTTTTTTGGGGTTCGGAAAGAAAGGCTAAGGGTTTTTAGGGTATAGGGGTTTAGACTTCAAAGGTGTATGGGGTTAGGCATGGTTAGTGGTTTAGGGGTTTAGGGTTTATACGGGTTTAGGGGTTTCAGCGTTTAGGTTTTTAGGGGCTTAAGGGCTTAGGGGGTTTAGGGGCTGCAGGGTTTTAGGGTTGAGGAGCTTTCTGGTTTAGGGTTTTGGGGGTTTAGGAGTCTTAGGGGTTCAAGGGTTTGGGGTTTAAGGGTTTAGGGATTTAGGGGCT